ATTTGGAATTGCTGTTGGAAACCATCCTGGCCAAATGTAACACCCATCTGTTTGGGATGGTTTGAGAGTCAGAAGATGAAGTAGTGCAGTAGGAGGGGGTTTGACAGCAGCAAAACTCGGCTGGCTGGGGGTCAGGGTCAGCTGGTCCTCACCCAGCCAGGGAGCCCTCAACTCCTCCAGCCTTGACTGCTCCTGCCACCAGGGCTGCTCACACCACGCTGGACTGCCCCAGCTGGAGAAATTTGCCCTTGTATCAACCAGTCTTTCTTCCTGAACCTTCTGCCCAATGGCCAGTCATTTGGGAGTATGGGACATAACTTCTCCCAGTTCTGAATAGCCTCGTAGCAATTGAAGCTGGTGTCCTTCCTGCTTCTTCTGATAGAACAGCTCCTTCTCCCTCACTGTTTGATATCCAGTACTGAAGGCAAGTGGTCTGTGGGGCTCTGACCTCCCAGGCTGGAGCAGAGCAACACCCTTCCACATCCTCAGTGCCATACCTCTATTAATGCATCCTGAGGTTGCATCCCAGCATGTGTGTGGGCTCTAGGGAAGCCCACCACCCGTTCTATGTCCCTGGGGGACTGAGGGGCCAGGGAAATCCTCACCCTGCCAAGGAGATGGGCCTGGCCTGGTTCTAAAGGCCATGAACCTGGTTCATAGAAGGTGGGGTCCTGAATTCATTTCCTTGCACCCCAAAAAGATGAAAATCAGTATTTTCTCCTGGTGGACCTGGGCTGGCCTGTTTAGACCACTGGACACGTGTCAGTTTGTCCCCTGGAGTTACTTCTTGATCTCTAAAGAATCGCGTGGAGTCGGCAAGTTCTCTGTGAAGTTGCTTTGTATTTAAAATTAAGCCAGCTATAAAGGCTCTTGTTTTATTTGTGAGCCAAACGTTTATAAGAGGTGTTATTACCACAAAATAAACTCAGCATGGAAAGCTTGAGCTGCTGGTTGGATTTTGAGGTGGTGGTTCATGTGATGTAATTCCAGTTCTACCAACGGACGTGCGTAGTCCTTTGCAGCCCTTGGTAGAGGCCCTGGACTTGGGCTAACTGTGAAGTACGGGTTTTGATGACAGTTTCAGGGGCGTCGGTTACTTTCTATGGACATCTTTCCTGGGCAGAGCTGTAGTGTCACCAACACTCATAGAAAATGTGTGAGCCAGGAGGGGCCCCTTCAGACCCGTTGCCACAAGGTGCCCCTCGTTGCGTCCAGCTCAACTGCACTTTGAGATCCCTGCAAATCTGATTTTGGTGTTTATCCATCAGCGTTTAGATTGTACTACACCACACTACCCTGTGGTGACAGGTGCCATGTTTTAGTCACAACAGGTGTCCTATGTTTGAAGAGGGAGAACAGCACAGCTGATGTAGGGGGACGCCTGCAATAGACAAACGTAGCGTCATCCGGGTCCTGTATTTGGGTGACCACGGATCCGGGGGAGGATCTACTTGCCAGTCCCTGAGTGCCTGTAAGGACTAGTCTTGAAGCAAGTCCTTTTGCAGAGTTTGGCTGGCCAGGCTGAGTTGTACAGAACACTCCTTTCCAGCGTGTGTGCGGATTCTAGGCAATCTGTGGGCAGATCCCGAACATCTCAAGACTTTTCAGAGGTGTCCACTGTGGACGCTGGCAGTGGGTGGTTTCTTAAAGGGCTGTGCAGAAGGCACCGTGCCAAGTGCTGGAGGGGAAGAAGATCTGGTCCCTAAGCAGCACTGCTCTCGTTGTTGGGAAATCTTTGGCTCTTACTACATTATATCTTACTATAATGAGAGGAGAGGGGTGCCTGAGAAGGGTCGTTTGCCGTTGACCAGGGCTTCAAGGTCACTGCGGTCTCTACAGGAGGGAGTGTGGCCAATGCCCCAGGCAGGACCCTGGGTGCAGTCAGCGGTGCAGATCTAAAATCTCCAGACATATGGATACGTAATAAAATAGGCTGAATTGCCTTTGCTGGAAAGAGGGAAGCCAGATGGGAATAAGGATGGAGCTGAGAGGAGAGAGAAACAGAGCCAGGGGCCAGTCTGCATCAGCCCAGTTTCCAGGGGCAGCTGGGTGTTGTGAGTGAGGGAAGGGTGTTGGGCAGAGCAGTGGGGGTCCCCAGGAGGTGCGCACAAGAAGAAGGGGATTTTTGAAAACCAAGGAGAGATAGGCTTATCCTCTCTGCCAGCAAAAACACAGGAGGAAAAGGTGCAGGAAACTCAAAACGGGTAAGTTCTGTTAAAGAAAAAATTTATAATGAGTAACTATGGAATAGTGTTTATATTAGGCTGCAGTGTGTGTACTATCTGATCCATTTTATGGATGCTCAAAATTCCCCCAAATCAAGTAATTAGAAAAGTGCCATGATAATGTCAGTGGATAGTGAGACCCCTAAATTAGGAAGCCCACCAAAGTGTGAGCCCTTGCCACTGACTGTGAAAGAATTCTCAGTAGAGACAGAGAGAAAGTGGAAAAAAGAAAAAAGCTGCTTTATTTCTCTAAAGAGGAAAAGAAAGGAGAAGGACTTGAGCAGGAAGCGGTCAGCCAAGATGGGCAGTAGAGACAGCTCCAGACCCGGTCCTGCCACGTGGGTTTTTAAGAGAGGCTCTGTCATCATGTTTTCCTTCCGGGTATGATGGAACCAATCAGTCCTTGTATGGGCTTTTCCAATTGTTGTCATGGCAACCGTCAACTGTCATGGCGCCGGTGGGCATGTCATTAGCAGCTAATACATTACAACGTGCATATAATGGGGCTCAAGTCCACTAGAAGTCAAATCCTCCACCATCTTGGGCTCCATCAGTTCTAACCAGTTCTTATTTCTTCTCTCCCACTGCCTCCTGAGACTTAGATAAGAGTAATTGGTTTTTATTTGAGGGAGGGGCAGGGGTATGATCCTGGGAGCAACAGCCTTGGTACCAAAACAGGAAAGTTGCTTTTAATCAGAATGCCTGCAGTCTGGTGGACCCAGCATCCCCCCAAAAAAACCCATCTCTGAAGATTCTGTTCAGCCATGAAAGGTTTAAAGGGAATGGAAGGGATAACCTCAGTTCATCACTGAGATGGGTGGTCGGAGTTGTTGCCATCCCCCAGTGCCTGTAGGCTTGTCCTCATCAACTACTTGAGCCTGCTCTTGTGTGACTCAGGGAGGCCTGGGGGACGTCAGTGTCAGCGTTTCTATAAGCAAGATGCAGGGGTTGGTGGGGGTGGGGCACAGGGTCCTGCAATAATATTTTATCTTATCCTATCTGATAAAATCTGATACATCTATGTTTTTTAAAAATATAAAATATGCAGATATGTTTAAGTATGCACCAGGAATTTCTAGAAAGATAGATAACAAATGTCACCTCTGGGGAGTAGAACTGTAAGTTAGGACCACGGTGGAAATTGGGGCCGTGGACTTTACAAGAACAGTGTGCTTATTACAATGTTATAACTTGTTTTGATTTACTTTTTGTTTATTTTGGTGGTATAAGAAAAGAATTATCCCATGTAAAAAAGTGACTGGTAGTGTTGAAAGTCCAATAAAATGTATTTAAAGAGGATTTGTTAGAAAAAGAGAAAGAAAATTATTCTGGTAAGTGTTAAAGGGTGGTAAGGCAGACTATTCAGAAAGTGTTGTGAGGCACAAATGGCCCGTGTTATGGGCAGTAAAAGAATTTACCAAAGACAAAGGATGAAAATAGAAAAGGGCTTTAACAGGTGCACTGCCACAGACAACAGCAGGCCACACGGACAAGAGGTGCCTGTGTGAGCCCCAAGGGTGGGTTGTTGGGGTCTTTTATTAGGAAGGGTCACATCAGGTACCACGCAAGTGTTTGATTGGTTGTGGGTGAAGGAAGAGGTTTAGGGTCCACGAAGGGCCTGTGGGGTTTATGATTCTGATAAGGTGGTGGAACCAAGCCAGCCTGAGCTACTGTGAGATTAGGCATTTGCTAGGGCTATTAGTTTGTTCGGGCAAACACGCCCAGTAAAGAATGCACTTTATTTGTGGAGGGATGGCAGGCAGACATCTGTGAGCCCAGGAATGGGGGTCATTGGACTTTGAAGGACGTCAGCTGGCCCCGCATTCAGCAGTAGGTGTAAGGACCACTATGATGGGGTCTTACAGTAGAGGAACAAGACTGAGTTCAACTCCAAATACAGCAAGGAAAAGGGGGAATTTATAGCCAAGGGAGAGTGTGGGTCAGTGGATGGAAAGTTACTAGGAGGAAACATCAGGCGTGAGGGGGGATTCTGGCCTAACGACCTAGCAGGATTCTTACTAAAACTGGGCGATACAAAGACAAGGAAGTATAAAAGTCAAGGTCGAGTTGGGGAGAAATTTCAGAGAAGCCTGAGTACAGTTTGGTCAAAGAGAGACGCTGTCAACTCCTGTGTGAAGACACTGTTGCATACATGTGGTGGGGTCTGTGTGAACGGATCTACGTGTGTGGACACACATGAAGGCCTACAGGTGTCTGCCTGCATATGTGGGAGTATTTTTACGTTGTGTTAAAAAGTAGGTCCTTACCAGTTTAGACAGATACATTTCATGATTTTGTTTTAATGTTCTGAACGGCTGTGGAAAGGGCTGGGAAATCCGTGCAGGATCGTAGCCCTTCGAGGGCGACAGATGTTCTTGTTACTGTCTCTCCAGTAGAGCTGGGAGGAACCGGAAGGAGCATAAAATTTTCATGGTCTCTTTTTGCTGTTGTACGATCCTTGTAATCTGGTGCTGTTTTGAAGCTCACTGTTACTATGAAAGCAAAAAGAACTAAAAAAGATCAAAAGGGACTACCAGTGGCTTGTGTAGTGCCAGCGTAGACGTATCTAAGTCCAGGAGAGCAGGGGTAGCCCTGTGAAGGGTGGGGAGGTGTCGGGGTGGTGGGGAAGTGGCTGGTCTGCCAGGGAACAAGGGGAATGGTGGTGTTTTAATGAACCAAACTAGATAACGTAATTGCTTGTTGATTTCCATTGTCACTCGAAGGGCGTGATTTCACGTTCGTGGCGGTAAAAATATCTATTTGTTTTCTTCACAGGTTGTACTCAGACTATCTCTACTTTGCAAGTTCGAATAAATCTGCAGATGACTTCCATGAAAAAGTGACAGAAGCTCTGCAGCTGTTTGAAAATTGCATGCTGGATTACTCACTGCGCGCCTGCGTCTACAACAACACCCTCAACAACGCCATGCCGGTGCGCCCGCTCGGGGGTTATTATGCATCGTGGATCGGGATTTTAGCATATAAACAGCGAAGCGTTTTAATGTGCAAATGCCTCTCCCCATGCCTTTGTGCCGAGGCTAATGCAAAACAAATATTCATGGATGTAAAAACTCTCAAAGCTGATGGGCCCTTTCAGCCAGCTCCCTGCATTCTTCGCTGTCGATCGCCCAGTTACAACCCTCTCTCCTCCTTCCACAAAAGAGTGAGGGCGCATTTGGGAAGATACTATTTAGTGAGGCGTGGAAAACACACCCTGCAGTTAGGATTGGCAGGCGTGAAGACCCAACTCCCCGTCTTAAGAGCGTTCTCTCCAACGGTGGGAAAATTACCCACCAGGGACTTGCAGTGCTTCTCTGATGGGGTCTTAATGGAAAAATATTTTCCATTGATCCTTTTCTTTCTTTGCTCTCGTTTGCCTTCAGGAATATAGTTATACATCTCTTGCCCTCTTTTTGTGCAAAAGAAGCTGTGGCTAGTGAATTCAGCACGGTTTAGCTAAGGAATGGTTTTCCACTGCACAGAGCCCAAGGTTGCTGTAAGTGCCTTTTCAGCAGGTTTGTGCAGTGGGTAATCCACCTTCAGCGAAGCTAAGACTGTCACCTGCCCCCAAGTGTGGTTCACAGCCTTGCTCTCCTGAGCGTGCCACGCTCAGGTGAGATCTGTCTGAGGTGGAGGCTCGGGGCCCCCCAGGTGCGGTAGGGTTCAAAGTCAAGAGGGCTCCCTCCCTGTTCCTTGTCATCTAGCCCGTCTAATCTGGCAGGAAGTGCAGAGGCAGCAGGTGGGGTCCCAGGCTGTCTTACTGGAGTTTACACTTAGCAGGGAGGGTGCAAACTAAGGCACAGATCAACACAGAATCCGGCCCGGGGTGTGGGGTGGAAGACGTGGCCTTTCGGGCCAGACAGTGGTGGGTTCAGTTCCCGCTCCGGCAGCTACTAGCTGGGTGACTCTGGGTAGTTACCTTAGTTTCTCTGAGACTCAGTTGCTTATTATAAAACAGGGTGATAACACGGCTTTACCAGGCCATGGTAAGGTGAGTGACAGTTCATTCACGTGTAGGGAAGGAGAAAATCACCCTTTCATCTACCCATCTTAGGTTCGTTGGCTGGGGCCCCATAAATTAGACCAATGAAAGATAAACGCGAGAAAAGCAAACAGAGGTTTATGAACACGTGTATGCACACCCACCCGGGAGCACTCAGCGATGAGTAACTCAGGGGTGGTTAGGACTTGAGCTTACACGGTGTCTTAACAGGAGAACCATAGATTTCTTCTCTGCCTTCTGTTCACTCACTGCCTTCTGCAGCACCTGAGTGCAGACCAGCCCCGCCCACCTCTCCATCTCCTCTCAGCTGCCTCCCCTGCCTCCCTCCCCATCGCTGCTCTGCAGCCACACTCTGTCCAGTAGGTCCTCAGCTGGACCACCTCTTGCCTCCGAGCACAGGCTTGCAAAGTGTGGTCCCTGGACGAAGAGTATAAGCGTCCCTCGGAACTTGTCAGAACTGTCAACTCTCAGGTCCAGCCCCAGACCCCAGAATCGGGAACTTTGTCGGTGGGCCCCTCAGTCTATTTAGAAGCCCACCGGGTTTGTTCTGAGCCTTTCACACTCTCCTCCCTGGGACCTGCTTCTCCCGGTCGCTGCAGGGCCCCTCATCCTTCCAGGCTTGCTTTAATCTGACCTTCTGTTCTCTCTCCATCTTCACAGTGTGCGTCACAACTGGCGATTACAGATCATTGTTTTCTTTACCAGTTCAGCTCTGTCTCTGGCTCCCTGTGGCCGGGGGTCATGTCTGTTACATAGCAACGCATCTCCATTGCTTAGCAGGATACCTGATGTGCAGGATGCACTGGATTGTTTGCAGTATGAAAGAATGAATGAATGAATGAATGAAT